CGTCCTCCTCGTCCTCGTCCTCGTCCTCGTCCTCGTCCTCGTCCTCGTCCTCGTCCTCCTCCTCCTCCTCCTCCTCCTCCTCCTCCTCCTCCCCCCCTCAATTACGTAGATCCCACAGATTGGCTGCAGCACGGCGCGTGGCCGCCGAGGCGCCCGCGGGCCGCAGCTGCGGCGCCGCGCTGCGGCGGCCCGAGAGCGGGCGGGCCGGGGCGCGGGGCTCGCCGTGCTGGGCCTTCGGGGGAGAGGGCCAGGAAGGCAGCGAGGAACAAGAGGCGACGAGGAGGAGGAGGAGGAGGAGGAGGAGGAGGAGGAGCAGAAAGAGCAGGAGCAGGAGCAGCAGGAGGAGGAGAAGGAGGAGGGGGGAGGAGGAGGAGGAGGAGGAGCAGCAGGAGAAGGAGGAAGAGGAGGTGAAGAAAGAGCAGGTGGAGGAGGAGGAAAAGGAGGAGGAGGAGGAGGAGGAGGAGGAGGAGACGGAGGAGCCGGAACAGAAGGAGGGGCTCGCCGCGCTGGGCCTCCAGGCGCGCCACCGCCGACCGGAGGCTGCGGATCTCCTGGCCCAGGTGGCCCAGAACGTCGCTGTCGTCGCCGTGGTCGCCGCCGAAGCATCGTCGACGTCGTCGTCTTCGCCGGTGGAGCGTCGATCGTCGACGTCGTCGTCGCAGCCGGCGCGTCGACGTCGTCGTCGCCGCCAGAACGTCGACGTCTGCGTTGTCGCCAACGCCGCAACCGTCGCCGCAGCCGCCGCCGCCGTCGTCGTCGTCGTCGCCGTCGTCGCCGTCGCCGCCGTCGCCGCCGTCGTCGTCGTCGTCGTCGTCGTCGTCGTCGTCGTCGTCGTCGTCGTCGTCGTCGTCGTCGTCGTCGTCGTCGTCGTCGTCGTCGTCGTCGTCCTCGTCGTCGTCGTCGTCGTCGTCGTCGTCGCTGTCAGGATTTCGGTCAGCGCCGAGACATCCGGCGTCTCGAAAAAATCGAGGCGGAAAATTGTCATGGCTATCGGCCTCTCGGGGGGCTCTTACCAAGTTTCGGGGCCATCAACTACTGCTGCAAAACCGCTCCCCAGGAAGTGGTCGAGAGGTCGAGGGCCACCTCAGCGACGCAAAGAAACGTCATGAGGCAAATCCTGAAGGCCTCGCGCGCAAACGTGAGGCCCGATTCGCGTCGGAATGTCTTCGGGTTCACGTCGGTTTGCGTCGGATGTCCCCGGATTCATGTCGGAGTTGCGTCGCACTCACGCCGGAACATCGCAGCGCGCATGTGCCCCCGTATCTGACCGGGGGGCGGACGTGCGGACAGGACAACACAACGATTGCTCGCCGCGCGAGGCCTCCGGGATTGCACCTCACGACCCAAACCTCCGACCTCCCGATTGGGCCCCCGACCTCCCGACCACTTCCCCGGGGTCGGTTTTTCGCCCGAGTCGCTTTTGCCGACGGTCCAGAGGCCGAGCGAGGGCCCCGAGGGGCCGAAGACGACGAGAAGCCTCCGTCTCGGTTTCCTCGAGGCGCCCGACGTCTGGGGAAGGGGTTCGGCAAAGAAGCCCCAGGTGTGTGCTCGCGTCATGGGGCGCACCGCGGCACCACGGGAGGTGCCCTGCCGCCGTCGGCCCCTCGGGGCCCTCGCCCGGCCCAAGGGGGCCGTCGCAGGGCGACCTGGAACGAGACGCCGACCCCGAGGAAGCGGCTGGGCCATCTGGCAACCCCGCAGCTTGGGTCACGCTGCTCCCAGCGTGCTGAGGGACCACCTCCCAGGAATTGCTGGCTTCAGTCGGGCCGGGCGAAAGGGGGGGATAGCAAAGGGGGGGGGTGAGAATCAGCTCACGTATACGTAGCTGATTTTCCCGGCGCCTCCCGGCGCCGGAGGCGGCTCTGTATCGAGGAATGGGCCCCTCGGTGGGGCGAGACCAGCTGCGTGCAGCAAATTTCGTAACCCCCCCTTTCCCAATCCCCCCCTTTCGCCCGGCCCGATTCAGCACCCAGGAATAGAGTATCCAAAGAGTGGCGGGCAAGCATCGCCTCCCGGGGCCCGACGCGCGCAGACCCCTCCGGTTGCGGTGCCTTCCTGGTGCTCGAAGGAAAGCTGTTCTTTTCTTTTGATGACCTGGTCCAACACGCAAAAAGATTGTGCGCTGACCCGTGGATCACAGGGAGCCCTGTTAACTCTGATCGGCAGGAACGCCGACAATTGAGATCCCGTCCGCCGGTCTTCGCACCCGATGCAGTTACATATGCTTCAGACGGTGCGGCGCGCAATCAGGGCACTGGCTCTCCAACTTTAGCCAGCTCTGGGAGCGTTCGCTACGAGCCAGGAGTGCGACGCATAGCGGCGTGTTTGGGACGATTCCTCGGAGTCGAGATCGAATCGGATCGGCCGCGCCAGGATGGACAATCATGCCATGCGAACATCGGGCCGCATCGCATCGTCGGAACACCAGAATCGGCGGCACAGACACCCCACTTCGTGATTTGTTCACATCGTGCCCCCCCCCACCCCCAAAGTCTGGACACCTTCCAAGAGAGGGGCTCCTCGTGCCAAGTGGTTTCGCGGGCGGTCCTGGGGACAGGCAAGGGCCCCTACAGACTGCAAAACGATTTGCCGAACACCTTCTGGCGTGATCTTTGCCACGACGCGAGCAAGCCAGAAGGGACCAACTCTGGGGGGGTCGTGTCGGGCTGGGAATCGGCGAGATAGGCGACCGATATTAGACAAGCGAATTCCACTACTCGCAAACTAACTACTCGCAAATGGCATGGATCCGCAACGGGGGATTTACGATCCAACGGGGAATTTGGATCCAATCTGCACATATATACATATATGTGTATATACATATATTGATTACAAGTGTGGGCCCGTGGAATTAATCCACGGAGTTGAGGGGATAGCACTTTGGCCTCGCAGGGAATGGGTGGGGGCCTCTGGTCTGTCATCCGCCCCCACCTGTAGGAGGCATATGCTTAGCATGTTGGAAGTCGTCGGGGGCCCTGTACGAAACCCTTTTGGAACTCCTGTGGGGGCTCCTGGGGCCCTCTGGGGCCTTGTAGGACGCTTGTCGGGCCGTGTTGGGGCCGTCTTGGGCCATTTTGGACGCCTCTTGGGACGTCTTGGTTCCATCTTGGGCCGTGTTCAGCCCCACTGGGGCCCCTCCTAAGGTCCTCTTGGGCCGTCTTGGGAGACTCGTGGACCGTCCCTTGGCCGTCATGAGCCCTCTGGGGGCCTTCTTGGGAGCTTCTTTTTTCACAGCGCGACGCTGCCAGCCAAAATCCAGAGTGCAAGAAATGCAGGGGTTGACGGGCAAGGAGGAAAATTTAGAGCACCCAGCTCCTCGTGGTCTTTGACGGGGGCAGTCCTCAGCATCCCCCCCGCGAATGCCCAGGGGGAGGAGGACACCGACGAGGACAAAGAGGAGGCAGGCAGATGGGGGGCAAAGACGAGAAGGGGAGAACGAGAGAGAGAGCTTCGTCTGGGCCCGGCGTGGCTCTCTGCCCGAGCTCAACGTAGGAGCACACCCGCGCCGAATTTCACGGCGCCTCGGACGATTGCCGAGCGCCTGCCAGGCAGGCCGACCCGGACCCGCCGTGCGCCCGTGCGGAAAAACGGTCCCTGGGGGAGTCCGTGCCCACGGGGGCGGCGGGCCTCGGGCGCAGTCCCGCGCTTCGCGGGCCCTGGAAACGACAGGGCCGTGTTTTGTTTTACCGGTTCCGTCCTGCCGTTCCTTCACCGGTTCCGACGCCGTTTTTTACCGGTTCCGGCGCCGTTTCTTGACCGGTTCCGGCTCCGGTTCCAATCCTGGAGCTGTTTTTGTTGCCGTTTCCGGTCGCCATTGTTTTGCCGCTTCCGTGTTCAAGGAACATGTTTCTGGAAACGGTGAAAAAACGGCCCTGCCGTTTCCAGGGCCCACAAAGGTCCCGCGGCACGCCGCGTCGAAGACGAGGAGCTCGCGCGGGATTTTGCGCGGCCAACTCTCGCGCGAAAGTCGGCGCAACCGACCCGGAGTTATTTTCCGCGTCGCCCACACGGATCGTGCGTCGTGCATCTCCGCTCTATCGCCTAGTGGCTTGAATCTTTCGCTGGATCCTTTGCATAACGTCACCTTGCGTGCGCAGCAGCTGCAAAATCTGGGTGGTCTCGATGGGAACCGACTGAAGTACCAAGCTGAAGATTCCGTCGATGAACTCCGTTTCGTCGATCTCACCCGAGCCGTCGGCGTCGAGGACTTCGCATACGTCCAAAAGCTGGTCCGACTGTAAAATATTTCGGAGGTCTGCCGGAAAGTCCTTTAGGGTGTCGACGTCTATCGTTTCTAACCTGGACCTGAAGTCTTTCAAGCTGAGCATACCCTCTGAGAACTCGTCGAGCTCCTGGAAAAGGGCTCTCATACAAGGTTCGAGCGCCTTTAACCTCTTCCGCTTCATAGCCAAGTCAAACTCTCGATCTGATTCGCCTTGGACGATTGCTGTATCAACTATGAGTGCAGTTATGAGATTCCACGCCATGACTGTCACGACGAGCCAGACAAGGCCAAAATAGAACACCAAATACCACGCTCTCTCCAGTATTGGCTTGTATACAGCGGCAATAGAATCAGTGTTCGCGAATTGAACAAGCGTAAGCATGGTCACGTGCAACGATGAGAAGTGCGACTTGATCAACGTTGCGGTCACGAGATCTTCTCGTAAGGACGAGTTCCTTGTGATCAACTCAATGCCGAGGCAAGCAAACACGTAGACTGTCAGCACTATCAGAATGCACGCGGAGACCACAGTGCGGAGCGCGGCCATGAAGCCACTCGCAACCTTCCACATCTCTCGGAACTGCTGGAAAAGACGTAAAGCTCGCACGAGGCGAATGAGGCGCAGGAGCCGTAATACGAGCACCAAGGAAAGGATGTCGACGATTACGCTTCCACCGTCATCCACAGCAATCAACATGATGGGCTCCATCACCCAAGAGGAAATTATTCCGATAACAACCAATATTGCGTCAAACCGGAACCATCCACTCTGCAGAACGTCCATGCCATCAGCACAGGCACGGATGATCAGCTCCAGCACGAAGGCCACCAAAAAAACATGCTCTAGATCGTGCGTGATCTTTGAGCACTGCGCGCTGCCGTCCAAGCCACATTGGATCTCCACCCCAACACAAATGGAATTCGCAACGATGAGAAGGCCGATGACAGCGTCGAAACGCCTGCCGTGCTTGTGCACCAGCCTCCACAGATGCAGCTGCATCCTGCCCACTGGCCCAGACGACGCGGACATGGCCCGCGGAGGCTCTGGCGTCTCTAGGATGTCGCACCTCCACGACGAGTTGTTCCTCGACTGCCACCGCGTCGGCTGAGCAATCGCCGAAGACCAGGGGCTCGCGCTGCTGTTGAGCTTCGACACCTCATCCGCCAGGGAGGACACCTGCGAGGGCACCGCGCCCACCGGGACGCTGGCGACACTGTGACTCTGCGGGGGCGGGCCGGCGAGCGGGGAGTCGGATGCACTGCGCGGCAACGGGGAGGCGCCTTCGCGCTGGCTGTCCGCGCGCGCAATGCTGCGCGTGCGCGTCGCAACGCCCGCCCCGTGGGGGCCGTCCAGGTCAGTCGCGGACAGGAACGCCCGCAGCTCGGCGCGCAGGGCGCGGCGGACGCCGCTGCGTTCGTCGAGGGGGTCGCCCCAGTGCCGCTGCATCGCCTCGATGCGCTCCAGGCTGCCTATCAGCTCGCTGTGCAGGTCTGCGGGGTCGGCGGTCAGAATGGCCTCGGAGGGCGCAGCCTGGCCCTCCTCGGACGGGTTAGGAGGCACCCTACTGGGAGGTTTCCGTCGGAAGGATTATAGGGAGGATTAAGCCCCATAAAGGGGGGCTGTTACGCAAGAATGGGCCTCGGATTGAGCGGGACTAAGCCGGATTAGGCGGGATTAAGTCGGATTGAGCCGGATCGAGCGGGATGAAGCCGGATTGTGCCAGACTTCGGACCAGGGCAGAATCAGGACGTGACCTCCCAGGAGCTGCATCCGAAGACGGGCCCGCAGTATCGCGGGCAAGAGGCATGGGGCCCAGCGCGGCGCGCCCGCGGGCGCGCCCCGCCGGGCCGGTGGGCCTGCGCCGCGGCCCGGGCAGGCCTCGGACGCGCTGGAGCCGGGCGGGGAGCCAGAGCAGCCACTCGAGCCAAGGTGGCTACGGATGCCCTGCTTGGGAGCTGCTCGGGCGGTCGCGGGGCGATTTTGGAGGCCTCCGGGGCTGTCGTGGCCGCGGGGAGGACTCCAAAGGCGAGTTTGCTGAAGACGTGAGGTCTCCGAAAGGAATGTGGCGATTTCTGCTGGATGGGGCTCTCTCGGGGGTCCCCCTGGGGCCCTCTCTGGGGTCCCCTGGGGCCCTCTTGGAGCCGTTGTGGCCGTCAGGGGAGCAGCCTGTGCCGCCCGAGGGCCGTCTTGGACAGTCTGGGGGCGCCCATGGGCCGCGTGGGGGCTCTTCAGGAGTGCTCTGGCGCCGTTTGGAGGCTCTCGGGGAGCCTTCGGGTGCCCTTCCGGGGCCCCGGGGAGCTCGGGGAACCGGGGGTCCACGCCAACCCGCCAAGGTCCCCACGGATTCACTTGCACGGATCTATGAAGACCTGTCTTTTGACGCTTGCGAGCAGGCACCTCTGGGAGCAGCGGACTGTGCTCGGTAGAAGATATGGAAGCCGCACGTCCCTGGGCGAGGTGGGCCAAGGGGCCTGCAGCGGCGATGAGTAGCGGCCTCGGTCGGGGACGCACTGACCCGGGTCACTCCAGACCCGGGTCAGTCAGGCCTTGCCAGATCCCTGCAGGATTCTGCACGATCCCGCACCCAAGCCCGGGTCAACGCGAAAGATCCTGCAGGATCCTGCGAGATCCGGCGCCCAAGCCCGGGTCAGTGCGCCCCTGGCCCTGCAGACAGAGACAGAGTCCCGCGCTGAAGGCACCTACGCAGGTGCGCCCCTGGCCCTGCAGGGTCCTGCAAAATCCGGCGCTCTGGCTGACCCCCGTCTCTTGAGCCCCCACGCGGGGAGTTCATGCATGATCCGGGGCGCCAGACCCACGGCCCCCACCACCCCTCGGATGGGCCCCAGGATCCCCTCGGCCCCTCCCCACCCGATGGGATGGAGGGGCGCCACGACGACGACGACAACCCAGAGGTCCGATGTCGTGATTTCTTCGATGCGCGGCCCCAGGAAGTCTCGACCCGTTCCCCAGGACCCGCTTTCCATCCCGAATCGTTTTTTGACCGTCCCGAGGCCCGGCGAGGGCCCCTGGGGGCCGAAACTTGCTAAAAACCTCCGCCTTGATCTTTTCAATGCGTTGGATCTCTGGGAACGACGGCGGGGGGGCCCCACCGTCGTCGTCGTCGTCGACGGTGGGGATGGGGCCCCTCGCGTGAGGGGGGGACGCACCGTGCGGGGGGGGGGGCCCACCGCGGAGCCCGAAAGGCCTCGGCAGGACGGCGGGGGGGGGGGGCAGGCCCTGGACCTGTCAGGCCCCTCATCTGCGCCTTCCTCCCTCCCAACGCTGCCCCCGAGGTTACGTCGGGCCTGTCCCCCTACAGGGGGATTCTGGACGAGAAACGAAAAGTACGCAAAACATGATCAACACATTGCCCCGAAATGCTAAAAAAATAGTCCCCAGACTAATGTTTGCCTATTTTTGAAAGTCCCTCCTGTAGAAGGACAGGCCTGCTTTAACCCTAAGAGGAGCTTGGCTTGTGGGCAAGCACATCCTTGGCCGTAACGACTTGGGCAGGCCAGGCACTCGGTCCTCGGGACCGAATCAGAAACGGCCACGGCCGGTGCGCTCAACGAGGAGGGCCTGTGCTCCGCTCGAGCTCCAGGAGCATCGACACATCCTCTCGAGCGAGGCCCAGCAACGACCGCCCAAGCTCATGCGAGGGTAGGGAAGCATAGACTGCACCAACATAACCTTTCGAGGCTCCACGCGGCGCCCTTGGACCGGTGCTCTGGCGCGCGCCAGGAGCGGAGGCGGAGGAGGAGGAGGAGGAGGCGGAGGAGGAGGAGGAGGAGGAGGAGGAGAAGGAGGAGGAGGAGGAGGAGGAGGAGGAGGAGGAGGAGGAGGAGGAGGAGGAGGAGGAGGAGGAGGAGGAGGAGGAGGAGGAGGAGGAGGAGGAGGAGGGAGGAGGAGGAGGAGGAGGAGGGGGAGGAGGAGGAGGAGGAGGAGGAGGAGGAGGAGGAGGAGGAGGAGGGGGAGGGGAGGGGGAGGGGGAGGGGGAGGGGGAGGTGGGGCCGATGCAAGAGAAGTCGGCGCGGGCCTCGGAACGTGTGCGCACGTGGACCTGCGCTGCTCCCCGATCTCGGGCCAGGCCCCGCGGCGTCCGCCCGAGCCCGTACGCGCAGGGGCACGGGCGCAGCGACGCCACCGGCACCACCGGGGACCACTCGCGGGGATGGGCCACAGGGGGGGCCTCTCTCCCTGGTGGCGCGGTCCCCCTCTCTCGCTCGAGACCACCTCTCTCGGGGCGCGCCAACACGGAGCAGCGATCCCCATGGGTGGCGCGCGCGGTCGCCAAATCCACGGATCGGGGGAAGTGCCCTCCCCAGAATGCGGCCGGTGCCGCCTCGCTCCGCGGCGGAGGCCCGCGCTTTCCCCACGGAAGCGGGACCCGTGGATGCGCTAGATCTGTGGATGCGCTCGCCTGCATCCCCTCCCGCCTGTTTTCCACCACCACCACCACCACCATGAGTTGGAGGAGGGGAGAGAGGAGGAGGAAGAGGACGAGGAGGAGGACGAGGAGGACGAGGAGGAAGAGGAGGAGGAGGAGGAAGAGGAGGAGGAGGAGGACGAGGAGGAGGAGGAGGACGAGGAGGAGGAGGACGAGGAGGAGGCGGAGGAGGACGAAGAGGAGGAGGCGGAGGAGGAGGACGAAGAGGAGGAGGAGGAGGAGGAGGAGGACGAAGAGGACGAGGAGGACGAAGAGGAGGAGGACGACGAGGAGGAGGAGGCGGAGGAGGAGGAGGTGGTGCACAGCTCGCCCCTCCTCCCGCCGGCGCGCGCGGCGTCCTCGGCCATCTCCCGCACGGTCTCGGACTCCGCCCCCGCGGCGGGGGAGCTCGTGGAGGCCGCCGCGCGCGGGGCGGAGGCGGCGCGGGCCCGCGGCGCCTGCGGCGCCGGGGGCGGAGGAGGAGGAGGAGGAGGAGGAGGAGGAGGAGGAGGAGGAGGAGGAGGAGGAGGAGGGGGAGGAGGAGGAGGAGGGGGAGGAGGGAGGAGGAGGGAGAGGAGGAGGAGGGGGAGGGGGGAGGGGGAGGGGGAGGCCGGCACCACCGGGGACCACCCGCGGGGATGGGCCACGGGGGGGGCACCTCTCCCTGGTGGCGCGGTCCCCCTCTCTGGCTCGAGACCTCTCTCTCGGGGGCGCAGGACGCAGCGGCGCGTGGGAGCAGCCACGGATTCAACGAAAACCAGCAGATGATCTATAGCATTACCGAAAGGTACGATCGTTGTTAGTTTTCGTTGTCGGTATGAAAATTGGTATCGGCAGGTTCCGAAAAGATCTTCTCACACGCTCGGTGGCTGCGCACGTTTCGATGGAATCACCTCCCTTACGGGTCAGGTCGGGCATGTCCCCCCTGCAAGGGGGATTTTGGACGGCAGATGAGGAGTAGTCAAAACACATAGCCAAAAAATGCTTGAAAGTACAGTCGGACCTGATTGGAGAGGGCACGCGGGAGGACACAAGACCCTCCCGAGGGCCACGTTGCCACAGGAATGTCGGAGACACGGGCCGCGAGACACAGGACACAAGGGTACCCTTGAGCGAGACACAGGACACAAGGGTACCCTTCATTTGGCAGCGTCGACCTACTAATCCGTGTCAAGAAATGTTTAAAACCAACTCAAAAAATCGTCCCCAGGCTATTTTTTGACAAACTTTGAATCTTCCCCCCTGTAGAGGAACAGGCCCGACTTAACCCAAGGGTCTGGCGCGAATCCCAGGGAACGAAAGCCTTGAACATGTCCCTGGGCCGAAGACCGCACTTCTCCGAGAT